CCCCCCCCCAGTCCTCTTGGTCGCCCTCCTCCTCCTCGGCACTTCCTCTAGCTCTGCGGTGTGTGTCCCGTTTGAAATCCGGTGGACCAGACCTGGACACGGTCTTCCAGATAAGGCCGCACCACCATAGACCTATGTGGGGGTGGGGGGGCATTCCAGTGTCAGCCCTTTTATACTCCGCCCCCCTAAGAATCATCACCAGCACAGAGCCTTTTTCACTGCTGCAGCAGGCTGGGCCGACGCTCCCATCGAGCTCTCTCCACTAGGACGACCCCAAGATCTTTCCCCCTCCCAGTCTCCGCAAGTCTAGACACCACCCCCACCCCCCATCCACCTAGACTTGGGGTTGGGTGTTTTTGTTCCAATGCGCATCACTGTACACTTTCCAACACTGAACTTGATTTGCCCCACATTTGTCACCCATGATGCACCCGATTTGTGGAGGTCCTCTTGGAGCTCTTCACGGCCAGCCTTGGTTTTCACCCTCTTGAATAGTCTGGCGCCATCTACAAACTTGGCCACTGGACGACTCACCCCCAGTTCCAGATCATTTATGAATAAATAGTACCAGCCTGAATACGGATCCTTCTGAGATCTCACTGATTACTTCCCTCCATTCTGAAAACTGCCCATTTATTCCTGTGCTTTGCTTCCTGTCATTTTACCAGTTTTTAATCCATAAGAGAACCCATCCTCTTGTTTTAGGAGTCTTTGGTGAGGTACCTTGTCAAAGTCTCTCCCTCCCTCCCTCCTCTCCTTTTTATAACTTTGTGCATAATAATTGACAAAACATGTAAATCCACTATAGATTGAAATACTTATAACAACTCGACAGTAACAATATAACTTTCCATATGTGAAATCTAAAAGAGAGTGTGATATATTTAAAATGTCAACAAGTCATTAATTCTATAGTCACAGAATGACAGAGTTGGAAGGGGCCATACAGGCCATCTAGTCCAGCCCCCTGCTTAATGCAGGATCAGCCTAGAGCAGGAGTGTCAAACTCATTTGTTATGAGGGTTAGGGTCATGTGTGTCATAATATGTAATGCCAGGTAATGGAGATATAAACTTTATTAAAGACACAGACACAGATTTTTTGAAACTTTAAATAAAACATGCTTATAACACTAGCACTCTTACAATATTTTGTCTATTTAACAGTCTCTGATAACTGACACCTCTTGCTCTGAATTATTGCATCAAAATGTCTATGCTGTAGCAATCTTGAATATGCTATTCAGGTGTATATAAGAACATAAGAACATAAGAGAAGCCAATGTTGGATCAGGCCAAAGGCCCATCCAGTCCAACACTCTGTATCACAGTGGCCAGAAATACCAGTGCCATCAGGAGGTCCACCAGTGGGGCCAGGACATTAGAAGCCCTTCCACTGTTGACCCCCACCCCAAGGACCAAGAAGACAGAGCATCCCTTGCCCCAGAGCCCCTATCTATACTTTGTGGCTAATAGCCACTGATGGACCTCTGCTCCATATGCTTATCTGATTCCCTCTTGAAGCCGTCCATGCTTGTAGCCGCCACCACTTCCTGTGGCAGTGAATCTGTAAGCTAAAAAACCTAATTTTGATTTATTGACATTTATTACAGAAATTTCATGCTCAATGTTCTGAGCCTAGGACCCGCAGTAAAACATGAAATGGCTGGGCATTGCAAGCTTTTGTACATAAATTGCTTCATGTGCTGGTCAAGAACATGAGAAGGCATCCTGACACAGATTGAAGGCCATGTGTTTGTACACAAAACTATACTCTTCCCCAGAGAAATAGCTACAACTTCCTACAAAGGAAATGTGCTGGGTGAACTTGGACACACACACTCTCAGCCTAATCCACCTCACTGGCTTGTTGTTATTCCTCCTCTAAAACAGTTCACATTGCTTTCTTACTGAGAAAGACTGGATCATGAGGGCATGAATACAGAGAAAAGGGGGAGGGAACCCAGTTGCACCCAGGAGCCCACACACACACAGGCACTGGTCCACAGTCCGTCCGTCCGTCCTTCCTTCCTTCCTTCCTTCCTTCCTTCCATCCTTCCTTCCTTCCTTCCTTCCTTCCTTCCCCCCCACTGATTCCCCTGACCTGCTCCTCTGGACACTCTTATCCACCATCGTTCACTTTGGAACTTACAGGGAGGATTCATAAATGGAAATTCACCCCCCCCCCCATAACATTAATGGTTGGACAAAAGTGATTTAGTGTAATCTCTGATGCACGCATTATTTGCAAATGAAATACTCTGGCAGCTTTATAGTGCCTGATGGGAGGCAAACTGCATGATACTGCCTCCTGCAGCTGCAACAGAACACCAGACAGTCTTTGGATGTGATGAAGTTGCCCTAGCATGCCCTTGAGC